GCCTTACTTGCATGCCCAGTTCTCACATTGCAAAGCCTACAGTTATACATGGAAGGAATTAGCTTTACTGTCTCAGAACAGCCAGTCAAGATGATGAACTTGAAGCAGTTCTCAATTTCCTCTGGTTTTGTTTCTAGAAAGCTCAGTCATAAGAATAATCAGTTTCCATCTTGGTTTTGCTGCAATAAGCAGGAATCAGGGTGCATCTTTCAATGCAAAGGGCCTTCCCCTCAGAGGGATTTGTAAACTGCAGTCCACGTAGTGTAACTTTACCCAGAGGTGTAATAACACCCCTTTCATAGCACAAGAATAGGTGTTAGTACTACTGTAATTTATTTATGAAGGCAGAATAGAAGTTAAGTCAATTTATTTTAAAGCCCTTATGCACCTGTCCGCACCACTGTGCCACTGTTGCCAGATCTTTTGTTTACGCAAAGTTCACCTCAAAGTGCAACATATCAGCAAGAGGGAAGTTTGCCACTCACCCTGGGAGCACAAGGTGGATCTCAGCACAAGAAGTTAGTTTTCCCCAACACTGTGGCAGCAACAGGACAAGCTATCAACAACTGCACCACTCAGAAGCAAATACCTTCCTGAGCATAAAGACCCAGCACCGCTAAAGAAACCTGTGTATGTTCCATTCTCAGTCCTCACCCATGGCAGAGTTACATCCCAAACAGCCTGCAGAAGCCCAGCATTCTCTGCTCACCCCAGGTTAGCGCTGTACCAGCCTACCAAGCACAAACTGGTTCCTGAAGTACAAACCACTTTCTCACTGACCCACCAAGCTACACAACCATATGCGCACATGTCACTAATACCCAAGACAATCTGTTCCCTCTATGTGTTCAGCCAACTTTTTAAGATAGTGCAGGAAAGCTGTGCATACCCTTTTTGGTGGTTTGATGTTCTCAGATAAGAAGGGCAGAGGAAAATGCATTCCAACCTCTTCCAATTAGAATCATAGAATAGTTAGGGTTGGAAAGGACTTTAAGATCATCTAGTTCCAACCCACCTGCCATGGACAGGGATACCTCACACTAAACCATGCCATCCAAGGCTCTGTCCAACCTGGCCTTGAACACTGCCAGGGATGGAGCATTCACAGCTTCCTTGGGCAACCCATTCCAGTGCCTCATCACCCTTACAGTAAAGAATTTCTTCCTTATATCCAATCTAAACTTCCCCTGTTTAAGTTTTAACCCGTGACCCCTTGTCCTATCACTACAGTCCCTAGTGAAGAGTCCCTCTCCAGCATCCTTGTAGACCCCATTCAGATACTGGAAGGCTGCTAGGAGGTCTCCAAGCAGCCTTTTCTTCTCCAGGCTGAACAGCCCCAACTTTCTCAGCCTATCTTCATGGCATCCATAAGAACTGTGATGTATTCCACACTAAGTGCTTCCTTCCTTGGCACACATCTTGGCTCTCAGTCTTTTGGAAAAAGAGACTGAGGACAAGATGACCCAAAATTATTTAAAAATAAAAAACAACATTGATTGCTTGCCCAACCTTTGTTTTAATGCCATCTTCCAAGTACACTTCTAAATTTTTTACTGTTACCACCTTGTTGAGCTTCGCAGTGTTCAATTTCCTTGATAGAGGTACAATCTGGAGTTCATTATTTAGGGAGAGTTTTATCAGGGCTGCCACTTTACAAAAGGGGGATTAACAGGCAGTTGAACCAGGCACTGAATACGTACTTGGAGCCAGAAAACATTTTCTGAAAGTTAGAAGTCCAAAGGCTTTGGGGTTTTGCTTGGTTTCATTTTGTTTCTGTAAACTTAAGAGTGTTTGTAACCCTTACTACTTTTTTAATTTATTTCAAGAACAACACAGACAAAAGTCTGTTCAAGTTGAATGCCCACTCTCTGCATATAACACTCTTCAGTAAAGTGTTCTTTTGCTCTGTGTGTCTCAGAAGAACACATTCTTCTGACACATACAGAGAAAGGAGGACTAGAACTAACCATTACCTTGTAGATATTTGCCAAATGGGATAATGGGATCAAACAGGATGCGTGTATTCATAGTAAAACATGAGAAATATCTTGGAGATTTAAAAGTAACCCAAACTCCAATCTGATGAATGGCTAACAGCCTTTGGGGAGCAGGAGACTTGAGCTGAATAAGGCTTCCAATCTGCAATTAAAGAACATTTGCCCAATTAAAATTTCATTAAAACTTGGCAGTTTATCAGATCCAGTATTTTTTTCATTTTTCAATGCTTTCATTAGAAAGTTCTCCCCAAAGCTAATATACAATGAAGCAGGTCACTAGAGAAACTAAACTCACCCTATTTGACCAATCCGGGATTCACAACTGGTTTGAAGAAAGACAACAAATTCTCAATACCAGTTATTGAAGGTAACTTGGTAACTATGTTCCATTAAAAGCAAGTTGTTGCACTCCCAACTCTAGCTGAACTACTGAAGCTAGAATAAGTCATTAACCACAATAGCAAGTTAGCTTCCCATATGCAGTATGACAGCAGATATTGCATGTAAAGTGAGAATATTTTGTTCTTGCACTAGAAAGGAGGTAGAAAGAAGAAAGGTACAATAAAACACCACCACTACTTGAAACACAGAATATCTCAAAGAGCATAGTTTCAGAGATTAAACACTTTCCCTGATTTTATGGAATCATTTATCTCTACTTTTGACATCTAATGGAAACTCATCATACTTTCAAGTTTTAAAGGCAGCTGCAGCATCATTCCATTCTTAAGTTAAACCATGCTGCTCCATTTCACTCTTCGGTTGACTCAGAGACTCCGGCTGTACCACTCAAAGCCACTCACAGCAACATGATGCTTGTCACCATTGCAAAGCACATGCCTCTCTACATTTGCCTGGGCCAAACTTCATTCCCTCAAACTGGAGGCTGCTTCCATGACTTTCAGCAGACCCATACCGACCCAAGTTACTACTCAACACACCAATAGCCTTGCTCTATTTTAAAGATAGAGTAATTGTCTTTTACCTAAATACAGTTTGTTCTGAGCATGGCTGGGTAAAATTCTCACAACACAACCTTTTCCACTGGCATCAACACCGGAGACTAGATCAGCAAACCCTGAGTACAAAGCCCTCTGCCCAACCAAGGACAAGCATGCATTTGTTCTTGAACAGTGACTAGCCCCTAGATGAGACTACACTGAAGGCAGCTGAAGAATTCAGTCTGGAAACTCGAGTAGCTCATATCTCTGCTCTAAGAAGCCAAAAGGAAGAATGGGGCAGAAGACACTGCATGAAAAATAATAATAATATACCTGTACACACCTGTATACAGCTGTACATTTTACATGTTCAGCTGTATCTTCTACATTCCACGGCTTCACACATATACTATCCTACCAAGCAGAAGGCAAAAACCCGGCCATATTCATGCCACTGTTTGTACATACAAATGAACATTACTTGCAAACTCCTTACTTCAGGGGCATACACATGGACACAATTAAATCTTTTAGCAGGAACATCTTCTCTTTATTACAGAAATAATAAAACAGCACCCATAATTTACTTGGGGCTATACCTGCTGATGCAGCTTTGACATTTAAGTCAAAATACATTTAAAAAAATGCTTTGAATATTTGCACATCAGAGTCACTGATGAGAGATAAATAATCCCTAGTGGACTCCCATTTGTGGCAGGTATCTCCCTCAAGCAGTTCATTATGAATACTAATAAATGCTTTCCCTTTTCAGGTTCCTAGTAGCAGAACAAATGACCTGAAAGAAACCACTCTGTGGCAGTTCTGCAACACAACTCTTAAACACTACATTGGAGGGCTGTATTTCACCCGTATGAAACCATCCATAACTTACTTGGCATTGACAGTGACATCACACTTGAATAACCTTTAGGGAGCCTCAAAAGGCAGGCACTTTACAACAGTATGCTGTTTAGAAAGCACTTTCGAGTTTCAGACAGATCCAAGGGAATCTCCCTGGGAGGTGGCCACTTTTATTACCAAGCACTCAGCAACTGAACAAAAGCACCATGTTTCTTTACAGCTTCTGCAGGGAATGCTCTCTGCTTTAAGCTGAGAGCAATTATGTGGAAGTCAGAAGTTGCACTGCAATAAATCACTACTGAAACTGCTGCCACTGTTTTTTAAAAACAAATACGTAAGTAGACTGGTAGGCAATATCAAGAAAACTACACGTGCTTTGATAATTCAGTGTTGATGGGTGGAGATTCTATCAGCCTCATACTAACAAAGAAGAAATGAATGGATACAGGTGTCATTCATTCCACTGGAATTACCTGTTTAGTCAAGCATCAGTGAATTGTCATGTCCCAGCAGTTATAAAGATCTGTTTTTTCTAAATGTAATATCCTATGCTTATGTTCCTATCTCCCCCAGAAAATAGAAGTAATTGCAACCTCTGCTTCTTTCAATGCTTACACACTATGCTGTATTCTACATTATAACTATATGCATAGTGAATACACACAGACGCAGCATAAGGTCCGAAATGTCTGCTCAAAGAAACAACAGCTTACAACTGGCTTAAGAAAGAAGCACATGGAATGAAAGATTTTTCCTTATTTTACTGTTATTTCTCAGTCCTGAACAGTATTCACACATGAAAAACTTAACCAAGACCATAAACAAAATCACGATAAAAAGATTGAGAGCATTATTGGAAGTGACTTGTTAACACTGTAAGCGTACGGATAATGCCTCTCAGCAAGTCCAGCTATTATTTGGTCAATATTTCTCATTTGGCTTAATGGAACATGATGGATAGCCAAATGAGAGGCAGTCTTTCTTCAACATCCTGAGTCAAGCAAGTATCCAGTATAAAAGAGCAAAACATTTAAGAAGAATGGGACATTTCAACAAAGCACACACCTCTTCATGCAAACAAGTAATGTAGGAACCAGTAATGACCTTTACATATGTCACTTTTAAATCTGTTTCAGAACTTTTCTACGAGTTCTCTCAAGACAAAATATGAAATACTCTTAAAAACAAAATGAAATCTTACGGCTTGAAATGCAGTAAGACAGCCTGCAGTTGATCCTCCTGAATAGTTGCTTGTTGATTGGCCAAAGTATAAGTGTAAAAAGTTGAATGAAGTTAATGATCAGTCCTGACACTATAAATATGTAGCAGATCAGAAGATGGCAAATGAATTGAGACTTCAGAAAGCCAACGATGTCCATGATTTGCTGAGAAAGTAAGAGGGTACCTTCAGACCCAAAATCCAGAAGACAACCTGCAAAACCAAACAGTATCAGTGGTTACAGTGTGCATTTATTTAAGACAGAGTTCCCCATTTTACACTTAAATACGCTAAATACACTAATATGAAAGTTAAATTCTATTGTGGAAAAATGCTTAATAACAATATTTGCAAAATTAATCATGGAAAGATAATACCATATTTCTGAATCAATTTACTTTTGGCTTGGGAAATAAAATTTCACATTCTGCAAAACCCACGACCATACGACTGTTCCATGGATCACAATACTCCTCTATCAGCTCCTCATTGATAAAATACAAGGAAAATAATCCTCTTATATTTGGATATGAATTTTATGTACGTCATAAGACATGTACTGAGGCCTTTGTTATCTTCAGAGCAGACAGCAGAGCAGCTCCAAAGTAAACACAATCTTTACAGTTTTTTTAGAAGTTGTGCCTTCCTCTACAGGCTATGCCAGCATGCTCCCCATAAAGTAGCTGAAGCCCCTTAATTCTAGCTTTGTTGTCTTGTTCCCTTGTCATATTCAAATATCAGTTGACTTTGGCAAGAAAATAAAAGCTTGGCTATGTGCAATGCACACAATTTGTTCAATTATGCCTTGACACTGTAATTCTGTCAGTTATACTACATAAGCCCAGAAAGGAAACATCAATAACGGTACTAACACATGACCCAGAGTGTTTCCAGGAAAAAAATCAACTCTTAGGTTGCTGAAGAAACATTTGTATAATTTTGGAAAGGACTGGTCCAACCTTAGCAGCTGAGCATTCAGAGGAAGTGTTCTCTGCCAAACATACTGGCCTACCAAACACTGCATTGACCTCCCCCACCATTCCTACCACCACCACCAGTCCCATTTGTTAGCAGAAAAAATGTGAAGACTTGGTTTATCAGTAAACAACACACCACTACTTTAAACACAGTCAAGCAGGAGGTGCTGCCATCTTGCTCCACTGTTTCTCCCTCCAAGGCATACGAGAGCTTGCCCAGGGAGGAAGCCCTGAGACACTATTTCTGAATGTGCCAGTCATAGGCAATAACAAAATGGCAGCTGTCAGCATCTCGGGGAATTAACTGATCAAAAAAATCTTTATGCCTATCCTTTTAGTTGATATGAGACCCATTATGTGAGGCATTGAGTCTAGATCAGTGCCCTAAACATTTGTTTTACTGACCTTGCTGGCTACGCTTACCACAGTGAAGCGCACACACAAGAGTTGATGCAAAGTGCTAGGAAGATATTCAGCCAGGTTTTCAACCACAAAGAAGATAAAAAAAATTTAAGAAAGATAATATGTATTGTTGAATAAAGAGTTTATGGCAGTCCCAAGCCTATTATTAGCAAGGAAAATGTGCCCTTTGTGTATCACAGGCTTTGTTCCCTTTAAATCTTGCAGTACTATTCAGTATCAAAGGAGACACAATCTGTAGCTCAGAACCACGGAACAGGCCTCTGTTCATTGTAATAACTGCTGTCGTGATACTTGCAAAACATTTTTCCAGCTTTAACCAACCATTCTATTAAAGATACATTTCTGAGGGTGGCAGACAACTTATTAGCATGGGCTTTGACCAAAGGCTTTGTTTTTGTTGAAGGCTAAGTAGAATTGAGAAATCTTGTCTAGTAGGAACCACTGCAGTGATTCATGTCCCAGCTCCTCCATTGCACGCTCTGAAGACAGAGACAAATAAAAACAAACAAACCAAACACAAGAGAGTAAAAAAAGAGTAAACCCAAGTTTTGAATGAATTTACAGTGAAAGATACAAGATTTCGCTTCCCTAATTCAGACTACCATACTTCACAAGTAGCAGGATGAGATTACTTCTTACTTAATACTGAATGGTTTAAAAGACTGTGCGCTGCACCGAAACCCCCTGATGACTGGGTTTATCCTATTGTCCTTGTAAGATTAAAGCACTGTCTACTTACAGTGGACACTACTTGATATAATCAGCAGAAATCTACTGCAGTAAGCAGTTATCAACAGGCTTTGTGGACTAATTCCTGCATTAAATTACATTGAAATGCTATGCTTAAGTGAATAATTTACTCCACACTGGGTCTTTAAAACAAAACTTCACAGAATTAAAATAAATAAAGATGAGATGACCCTGATAAAACATAATTACTGTCTTACAATTTTATGAAGCCACAATGGAATGTTTGGAAGTAATTTATTCCTTTCACACCTCAATCATCAAATTTCAATTCTGCAAAGCTTCTAAAACATGTTTTATAGGCAAACTAAATCTTCCTAAGCCATACCACTGAAAGACATCTAACCTAACTTGCTTGTGAAAGGAACAAGAAATTAGAGAACTGCTTGTATTTTGCTTCTGTAAAAAACAGAGAGACTACAGAAAGATTAATTTTCTCTTCTGATTAAATGCAAGCTGTTTTCCCTGCAAAATTTGCAAACATTGTATGCAGAGGGCTAGCTAAGTATTCTTTCTCAGGCATAAGCAAAGCTCATTCTTGTAAGATATTTTTCTTATGATACTGTTTGGACTGTTCATTATCCACACTCAAAAAAAATGCAGTTTGTCCTCGGTACAAGCAACAGAAAAAAATTAGAATTTTATTTTCAAGAATCCATTCTGAGATTATTCAACAGGTCCAGAAACTTGCTTTTTAAGAATTCTTAGGAGCTTCTTCCACTTGCTCTTTGTCTTATTAAAGTTCCTCATGGGTAATATCAACATAACACCAGTTTAAATGATAAAAGAATCAGGTCTTTAATTCTTAATCCATGATGCTGGTTTAATAAATTACACTGATTTCCTTATAGATAATGACTGAAAATCACAGCAATCTTTTGAAAACAAAAGGGCCAATCAATGCATTTTCTCGGAAGCTATTAAGATTGGAGAGCTGCCAAGAAGCTCTCTTCTATCAAACACCCCTTAAAATGAATTAGGAAAAAATGGCCAGCCAGAACATCAAAAACAGATAGGGTCATTCTTTAGTAACAGTTTTCCTCTGGATGTAAAACAAAATACTCAAACCTCAAATGTCTGCCTAGGGAGCAAGCCAACAAGCATCTATTCATGCAACTAAGATCACAGGATGGATCAGGTTTAAAAGCTAACTCCACAACTATTCATTCTACCTTTTTTTTTGTTCCAAGTTTCATTCTTCAGCAAGATCCACTGTGCTTTCTACTTCAACTACTCTGCATTTCCTTCTGCTTAGAATAACTGACCGAGACACAGAAGTTATAGGCAAGGTGAACACCTCTCTCCAGGAGAGGCTGCTGCCAATTAAAAATGCTACTTTGTACTTCAAAGTCTGTAAGAGTTTCAAGGCTACAACTAGTGATCTTGTAAAGAACACAACTGTTTGCACTTTTATAAAAAGCACAATGAAGCAAAGAACTGTCACCCACCTTGTCCAAAGTTTAAGTAGTGAACGAGTCCTCAGGGTGTGGAAAGCAATACAGAATCACAGAATGCTTAGGGTTGGAAAGGATCTTAAGATCATCCAGTTCCAACCCCCTTGCCACAAGCAGGGACACCTTCCACTAAACCAGGTTGCTCAAGACCCTGTCCAACCTGGCCTTGAACACGGTACCTACCTGGCAGATGCTAGACTAAGCTAGCACTGTCCATACTTACACATAGAAGCAAAACAGCACTTTACACATTTTTTCAGGACAGTGTATTTCAAGTCTATACAAAGGTTTTCACTTATGTCAACAATCTGATATAGTCCTTAAATGCTTTGCTGCAAGTTAAGAACAACCAAGCACATGATGATGCTGCTCATTCTTTCATTTTCTCATCTAAACCAGATTCTTGCCTGGATGCATTACAGAGATTACAACTATGAAAATATGCTCAGGTTATATTACAGCAGTTTCAGTAGTGAATTTCTTTAAGTGCATTTCAGTTACCATCAGAACAGCACAGACAGCAGCACTGTATTTCATATTGGGCTCCATTTTAACACCTCTTCTGCATATCAAACATATATGTAAGGCAAGTCACAGGAAGCACTTTCTGTCACTGAGCATTAAATGTCAGCAAAAGTGAGGTTGTGTTCATTTTCAAAGAGAATGTATTTGTACATGCCACACGAAAGAAACCCCAGGTCTGCGGGAAGAATTATCCGTCTATCTGCCTCATGCTTCGTTAGGGTTTGAACTGCTTCTCACTTTCCCCAAGAAACACTAGAGCATTACCTCCTGTGTTTGATTTACATGGCAAGGTTGTTGGTTGGTTTGGGTTTGTTTGTTTGGGTATTTTGTTTGGCACTTTTTTTTTTGGGGGGGGGGGAGGATGGGGGGGGAGGAAGGGGCAGGGACTGCTCTTGTGAGAAGGCACCAGGAGCATCAGAACCAATTCCAGCCACTTCCAGAAAGGACTAGCCACTGGCCAAAGCTGAACCCATCAGCAACACTGGTGCCTCCGTATTTAAGGGTAAAGAATGCTGCACAGCAGCTGTGAAGGAGGAGCAAGAAAAAGGTGACAAACAGCCCCGCAGACACCAAGGTCAGTAAAGAAGGAGGGGGAAGATATGTTCCAGGTGCCAGAGCAGACATTCTCATGCAGCCTGTGATGAAGACTATGGTGAAACAGGTTGTCCCAGGGCAACCCATGAGGGAGCATGGTAGAACACACATCCTGCAGCCTGTGGAGGAGCCCATGATGCAGCAGGTGCCCATCCCAGGTGAAGGAAGCTGAAACCCATGGAGGGGAGCACACTCAGGAGCAGGTTTTCTAGCAGAAACTGCACTCTGTGGGGGATCCAGGCTGCAGCAGTCTGTTCCTGAAGGCCTGTACCTTGTGGAAGGGACCTCATCAAGAGCAAGGCATCAGTGCAAGGAAGAAGTAGAGGCAGAGGGAAACTGTTATGGACTGACTGCATCACCCATTCCTCTGCACGACTCGGGGTGCAGCAGAAGCAGGGAGGTAGAAGAAGAGTTAGGTTTCAAGTTGAGCCTGGGAAGAAGAGGCTTGGGGGGAAAGTGGTTTTAGTTTTGTCTCTGTTTTTTCACTGCCCTA